TTCATAACGTTCTTTTCTATACACCTTAAAATACTCTTCATTTTCTTTCATATAGTTCTTGTTCTTTTCATTCAGTCTATCTCTATTATCATCCCACCATTGTTTTGCTTCTTCATCTGTAATAAATGGTTTTCTGTTATTAAGTGTTGCTCTGTATAATTCTATGTATTCTCTCTCTTTTTTCAATGCGTCTAATCTTGTTTCACAGTTTTCTGTTGAAGTTTTAACCATATTCCAATTCCCCCAATTTCCATTCTCACGGATAAATTGATAAACAGGTAGATGGTGCACTTTGTTGTTCGGGTTAGTACAACTCGTTTTATGTCTGTATTTTCTTTTTGTAAAGTTTAATGTATGACCAATGTATATTTGATTGATACTTAAATCATTACAAACAAGTTTATAGAATATGGTATTTGAATACTCCATACAAACTTTAGGCATTGTATAAGATATTATAATACTTAATCTTTAAATCTTATTCTTCAGATACTTTTAAATAATGTGAAAAGTTTGTCATAAAGATACGGTTAGGGTCTTTTTGGAGAAGGTTAATATATAAAAAGCTATGTGGTTGTTCAGTTGCTTTTTCATATATTTTATAAATTAGTTTCTTGCTTTCGTGTAAATTATCGCTTCTAACAATTGCCGATAATTCATCTTGCAATATTTCTATCTATTTAAAATTTCTAACTTTATAATAAAACAAATGACTTATATTTACCCTAATAATTGGTGGTACGGTTGATGATTTCTGAAGACTGACAAGCGTTGATATTCCACTATGACGTCCCCTACAGAATAAAGAATTTAACAATTTGTTATTTCTTGTTATTGCTGGGTTATCAGATACATCGTCCAATATAACTAATATATTAAATAACTTCTTCATTCCTTGTTTTTTCTGATGTTCAATTATTTTATTTTGAGTTTCTATAACTCTTTCTAAATCTTCAACATTGAACTCATCCCACCAACACGGTTCTTTATCAGTATCTACTTTCAAACCTTCTTTAATGTATTTTTTAACAGGCAACCAAATACTATCCAAATTTACTGACGGAGACCAGATAAAAACCCTTTCAAATGCTCCTCTATAAATATCAAGTATCATTGATACAAGTAGGGTGCTCTTTCCAGAGCCTGACGGCCCTACAATCATTGCTCTCATCGGCAATTTAGGGACGACCTCGTGCTTACTTTGTTTAAAGTCATATTTGATTTCATCAATTGGTTTTACATCAGGCATAATAAAAGTAATATTAAAGACATTTAGAAAATAATTTAATATTTATTATTTTATATGCATAGAAGTTATTCAGATTATATTGATATAATAGATGAAGTAGAGAATTTAGAACAAGTTGTTATAACTAATAATAGATTCAAAAAAGTATGCTATTTTGTTTTAGAATTAATTAAGTTTGTGATACAATATATTAAAAATATAAATATTAATATAGATGGGAAGAAAGAAAAAGAATAAGACTGAACCAGTTGTTTCTTCAACTGATGAAGAAATTGTTAAAGAAACATCAGTTATTGAGTTTGCTTGTCCAATGTGTAAAAACATCTTAGAAATGAAAAATGAATTAGAAATACAAAAGAAAGGACACTGTAAATGTTCGTGTATTCCAGCCAGTTTCAAAATAAGTAAGAATGATAAGAAAATGAATATTGATAAAACTAAAGACAGTATCAACTTAGAAACAGATGTTCATAATATTGCTATTCGCTTTGGGAGGGGAGTTACTCCATCAGATAATGGAAATAAGGAAACTCAGGAAACTGTTAAACAAATAATGAAAAATTAGTATTTAAAGAGTAGATTTAACATAATTGCAACATTTAGTTTTAAAAGTTTAGTTTTATAATTTAGTATATATGGAAGAACATTTAGAGAACATTGACAGTAGTTTGGAGTTGTTGTTTCCAAAATTAGAAAAAGTGTTGGGGCAAAATGAAAACATACTGAAAATCTTAAAGAGCATGAATACTAAACCTACATATAATAACAATAACAATTATCAAGCAAAAGAAGTAGATAGAGACAGTAGCGAATACAAAAATAAACGAAACATTTATGTTAAAAAACTGAATGAAAAAGTCATAAAAGAACCTAAACAATCAAGTCTGGATTACTATCAAGTCAAGTATAAAGAAGATACCAAGAAATACGTTTAATCATTAACTAACAAAAGTTCGTGTCTCAAAAGCGGTTTGTTTATTCCTGCTACTTTGTAAGTTTTATTACCCATAATATCATATTCAATTTTATCAATATTGAATATTTTGTTAGACCATTTAGAGTTATACTCCTTTCTGTCGGTGTAATTACCCCTTTTCTTTTGGAACACTTTTACCTTGTCGTTCTCCTCTATTTTGGGATACTTTCTTTTGTTTTTTTCTCGTAGTTTAAGATTGACCTTTACATTTATTTCATTGTCGTCCTTGTGTGCTTCAGACGGTGTCATCCTTGTTGATGAGTGAGATGTGCTGTTATACTGTTTCAATGCTTGCGTTAGGGCGTCGGTCCATTTCATGTTGTTAAACCTAACTCTATCGTGAATTTTGTTTTTCATCGTTCTAATAAAACGCTCGGCCACATTTGCGTGGGTCTTCGTGACGATGTGGTTTATTCCTTCACTGTTGAAGAAATCCTGAACTTGATTTTTAGTTGCAAACGCTCCGTCGTCATCAGAATACACGGACATCGGATAACCCATCTTTTTAAAGCTTGCTCTCGATGCCTTCAAAACGTGCTCTCCGTCTCTTTCCTCCATCGGTATTACATCTGCTAATTTACTGAAGATGTCAATCACGACTAAAGCATACTGTGGAACGTTCTTGTCTTTTGCTAAAGGTGACATATGCATTATGTCTATTTGCTATTCATATCGTGCGACTGGAGCGGTATAGGAATTAGTACCTCTATAATTTTTGATTTGTTTATTTGGTTGTTTCTTTAAGAAAGACTTGACATCGTCTATTGTTATTGTTGGGTCTTCTTCCTTTGCCTTCTTGTGTGTCGCTTGTGTGCTTCCGAAACCCTCGTCTAAGTCGTAATAGATGTTGCTGATTATTTGGTCTTTTGTTAATCTCGCCATTATATTAAATTGTTAGAAAATATTTTTTCAATATAAACCCCACCCCTTAACATAAAATAAAAACTACTTAAAGAAAAATGGATATAATATAGTAAGAGAAAAAATGACACTGTTTAATAATGATACTTGTCCTTGTAAAAATAAATGTAAGTCTGTCTTGGCACTAGCTAATATTTTACCTGTTGATGTGTGTAATCTTTTAGGTGGCTATATTAGAGTAACATGTTTTGATTGTTGGCATTTGATGGATGAAGAAGAACATTTTATGAGAAATAAAGACATTCCTGAAGAAGGACTGGAAAAAGCAGAACTTCAATTACAAGCTATTAAACTAATGCAAAATAATGTTTTTACACTACTAGCAGAAAACCAATATAGTATAAAAATAAGACATTACAGAAAACACATTGACCGAGTATTTGATATACAAGAAGTTAAAGAACGGTTTAAAAATAGAAAAATGTATTATCAAGCATTAAAATCATACTGTAAGAATAATGAAAATGAAATTTGTATCATTTTAAGAAAATGTCGTAACATTGAAGATTTAAAAAAAATTAAACGTTGTGGGTTTAGCTTTCCAAACCTAAACAGTTGGTGGTCATATAGAAATAACAATTATTGTGTGAGATATATTCTTAGCGAATTAATTGAAATTTACACAGACCAATTAATAAAAGGATACGAGCATTATTGTTGTGAGTATAGTATGAGTTGTTATAGTGGTTGTATCGCTGGTGAGATTGAATACGGGTAAAATTAACTTTTGTTTATTAATATTATTATCTTATAATATGATTAAACATTGTTTTATAATCTAACAAGAAGGTTAAGACATTTAAATTAAACCTGAAACCCAGACCAGCCGACCAGCAACCCCCTAGCCAAAACTACTTAAAGAGAAGAAACCTTATATAAAGAGAAAAATGAGTGATGGTAAAATGTCAGAGAATAATTTTATGGTTGAGAATTGTGCTAGCTTACCTATGGAAGCATTGTTAAACATCGCTTCTTATATGAATGGCAATGAAGGGTGGCAAAGACTAAAACAGTGTAAAGCATTAAGGGTCTTACAAAGGAAATGGAAACCGTCTATTTTTGAACGAGAAGGAGAAAGTAGATATTATGTGTTGATTAGCAATATATGTTTGAAAGGTGATAAAGCACTTTCATATGCGTTGAAACCACCAAAAGAATTATTAAGAATTGTGAAGTATGATGAAGAAATAAAGGTTGGAATAGAAATTAGTTCGAAAATTATGTGTAGGGATAATATTTGCAACTGTAGTTATTATGCATCAAGCAAACAGAACAAGATAACAAGTAGAGCGTCATTACAATTTTATATTGAAAAAATAGTTGAATAAATAGAACAGACTATGAAACGAAACGAAATCATTACTATAGAACATATTACATTTGAAATTTATACATAACAGAAACAATGATTTCATGGTTTAATCATAATATTTAATTATAATATGATTAAACAGTATAAACTGTTATAACCTTTCATTATACTGTAATTTTAACCTATGCCAAAATGTCAATAACAAAACATATATCAAAACAAATGCACCACCAACACCCCAGAACTTGATAACTACTAAAAGGGCCAACTCTTTCAAATGAAAAAATGTCGGCCCCCAGCCCAACAATGAACAAGGCGACAATTTACCCAATTGATTACCTTAACGAAAACGATATATAAGCTCCCCGAAAACCCTCTTTTAAAAACGAAGAAGGTGGTTAATAGGTTTGAGATGAATATTAAAAACATAACAGGGGACCATCAACAGACCACCCCCCAGGCCCCCTACTTTCTCCATTTTTGGGGGGGGGGGCACGGCACCACCTTGAACGCCAACAACCAAAATAAAGCAACCCAGTCTCCAGCATAGCTGACCTGCCCCAAGTTGCCAAGCGCGGTTACCACGCTCGAGGCATATAGAAACCATTGCAGGTTGGGCCAACTCTGCCTCTCCTTCTCAAGGACAAGGGACCCGTGGACTTTCCTCAGCGCGGCAAGCATCGACCTGTTCTGAAGATGAAACACAAAAGGTCAAGATGAATTGGCTAACACGGGGGCGTTCGACTGTTTGCCTCCTCAATGCAACATGCTGAGAGATCACCACCTGCTTGGAACCAAGCTGCGGAGCCATGGTCTTGAAGAAGGCATCTTCCTCAACTGCACTGAAGAGGGCGTCTCCATCAAAGCAGGCTGCCCCGTGGAAGACACCCCTTACCTGCAACGCCTTGATGCCACTGTCACTCAGAGCCCTTGCAACGCTCCCTTCGCTGCAAATGTCTGCCTGCACGGAGATAACGCTCGTGCCAGTCTGGCTCTGCACTTCTCGCCTAAAGGAAAGGGGTGTGAGCGAGGGGACGAGGCAGGGTCGAAAGACTCTCTATAAATCAGAAGTCTGGCCTGAACAAAGCAAAGTCCTTGTCTTCCTTGCTCCTCCCAACTACGACCACGGTCCCAGCGCCCAGATCCGCCAACTCCCTGACGACCAGAGCTGACAGGCCAGTGACACGGCAGCCGCCAATGACCACGTACACCCCATCCCTCCTTGGCACAGGCAACTGTCCATCCATACTCCCACCTGATCGACATGACAACACGCGTCAACTTGAAGCGATCGACCTCTGCAAACTGGGGAGGGAGCCATGGTTCTGTGGGCCTTCCCTGGCTTGGGCCCAAGAGTCTGAACCGCATCTGTGTGCTTGAAGAGCGCGTCATATGTGAGGTTGTGAGGCAAAAGCTCCAAGCGATGAGGCACACCTGAAACAACTGACAGTCACTAGCACTCAAACAAGAAATCAAAGATGTCACTCAAAATCAGACCGTTTCATCCAAGGCGCCCGCTCTGATGAGAATCTCGGTTTCAGGCCTTGTTGCCGCAGTCTCCCTGCCTAAGGCTCTGACACTTGCAGTCGAAAGGTCGGCCATCTCAACCACATGCAGCTTGCCCCGCCCAGGCTCGCCCTCGTTCACCAAGCTTTTGCACATGGACACCCACATCCCGGAGCCGGGGCTGGAGCTGGGGCTGCAGGGGCTGAACTGCGGGCTTTGCTTGGTGAGGACCACCAGCCGCGTGCGCGCGCCTTGCGCCAGCGCGCCGCGCATCAGGTGGACGAGCTCCTTGAAGCGCCGGACTCGCTGAAGCAGCTCGGACTCGCCCTCCAGGCGCGCTACGCCGCCGGTCCACTCGAAGAGGACGCAATCAAATTGCTCCAGGGACAAGTTCTTCTCAGACAGGCACTCGGCCATGTTCCGCTGACTGTTTGCCGGAGTAATGCACCGCACCTGGCTGGTCTTCAGGATGTTCTTCGTCATCAGCTCTGCCACCACAGAGTTCTCGGAGACGAAAGCCAGGAACTTCTGCTCAGCGACCTGCTGCGGTGGGACTGGCGTGAGCTCGACCGGGCGGATGTTCCACAGCAACTGGGACAGACACGTCGCGGATGAACGTAGAAGTTTGCCCCAGACATTGCGAACCTCCGCCACGATGGTGCCATCCTCACACACCAACGCGAAGGAGGCGCAAATGGCCGAACCGAAAAAGCCCGGCTTGGCCTCGATCACAAAGTCAAGGTGGGGAGAGTTCTTAAGGAGGTCCTTGCGCGCAAGTCAAATATTCCGTAAACCTCGCAAGCCAAAACCCCTCAGAAATTCCTGCCCAGCCCGTCTTCCTCCCAGCGCCACCCGTCCTTGTTGAAGATGGTGAGTTGTTCCACTTGCGTGGGCACGGCGCCATGGGTCGCCTGAGCTTCTGGCAGCCGCGACAAGCAGAAGCCCAAGCTCAGCTGGAAGGCTTTGTCCAAGAAGACCATCGGACTCATGTCATCCATTTTTGCACTCACCTTGCCAAAGGCAAAGTTCCCCACCACGGCCAAGTCTCCAGTCGCGGCCAAGTCCCTGCCATAGACCAAGCCCCCCTGGGCCAGAAGTTTCAGGACTTGCTCGCAGCTGAGGCGCGACGCGCGTGGAGCCCGCCGGGCGCAGGCACGAAGCCACTTCGCAAGGAAGCTTTCTCGTGGTTCTGGGGCAAGCTGCAGCTCCCGTAATTTGCTGAGCCAGACGCCGCTGTCCTGGGGCTCAGCCTCGGCCAGCATGCCTTCCGCAAAATGGCTCTGGTCATCTTGGCTCTTGAATATAAAACCTCCTTCTGCAAACTTTAGCCTCAAGGTGATTTCCTTCTCGAAATGGCACGGCCTGGTGAACTTCACGAAGGAAAAGCTGGCAGAAGGCTGCTGTTGCTGCTGCAGCACCAGTTGAAGGAAGCAGGCCCCCGGCAGCAACAACTTTCCTTTCCGCACATGTTGCCGCAGCAGCGGGTGGCTGTGGGTGTCAAGGCGGATCTCCCGGACAGCGCCATTGCCGTCTTCAACGGTGTTGTCTTTAGGCACACTGCCCCTGCGCCAGCCGTCCAGGCTGCTGCGCTCGTGAATGTCGCTCAAGCTCGGAATCTTGCCTCGGCCGTCGGCTGCCTCGCTCGCCGCAGGGCCTTCAGGAGGCGAATCAACAACTTCTGGGAATCAAAAAAACCGTCCTGGCAAGCGACCCCAAGCAGTGGTAAGCACAGAAACTTTTTCTCCCTGTGACCCCTTTCCTTTGCAGCATCTTGAGAGGATCTCTGGACAAAATATCTTTGCATTTCTTACACAATTTCGACCCGATATCCTTCATGATTGAGGCCCGGCTCAAGATCTCCTTGCAGAATCTTGAACGAGGACCTCTGCGTTGCAAGACCTTGGGGGGGATCTTGGTTGGACGGTCCTGCGCGAGACCTGTTTGCAACGACTCTAGACAAGGTCCTTGGTCGGTAACGCCTTTGCTGGAAGATCGAAACATGTTACACTTTGACCAGAAGTCGCCCTGACGCCCTTCTGCGCGCAATCTCTTGTTAAAAGTCCCTGGCTTGCTAAAAAACTTTTGCTAGGACCTCCACAATCGGTCCGGCGCAAGAGGTGTATCATCTCTATGAAGGTATCTTTCCTGCGCCAGATCTCCGCGCAGGATCCTGAACAAGGCGCACAACGTCCCTTGGGAGGGTCTCCTGCTGGAAGCTCATGCGCGACAGGTGTTAGAGGGGATCTACCGGGGACCACGAGCAAGATCTCTGTGAAATACTCAAGGTCATGTACAAGATTTGGTTCAAGGAATTTTGCAGAGGATCTGCGCGTTGGACGATCAATGTTCAACTTCGGACCGCGCCAAGCGACCAGCGCCGCCAAAGATTGCAGAGAACTCGCTTTCCATTATTGTGATTTGCACCGCGCCACAGCCAGAGCGATCCGACCCACCCTGAGTCCGCACAGGGTTCACTTTCGATACTGGAAACTTGCACACAGCGAGAGCCACTCAACACGTCCAACGCCCGCAGATGGTTCACGTTCCACGCTGCAAATTCGCATCGCGCCACAGCAAGTGCAAATCAGGACGCCCAAAATCTGCACAGGGCTCGCCTTCAACGTTCAAAATTCGCTCTCAGCCACAACGAGAGCGACACAGATCTCACTTTCTGTTCAAACTCGCGGCGCGCCACGGCGACAGGGACTCATCACGTCATTTCGCTGCTCAAAGCTCGTGCCGGCCCGCAGCGAGAGCAGCTTAAGATGCCCAAAGTCCGCAGAGGGCCCACGATGTTCAAAGTTTGCACGGCGCCACAAGCAGAGCGATCCGAACAGTCCAAAGTCCGCAGAGGGTCAGAGGTTCACTTTCAAAGCTCCAAACCAAGCGCCGCGCGCCAGCGACATGTTCAACACACCAAAGTCTGCACAAGGTCGGCTTCGATGGTAAAAATTCCCGTCACGCCACAGCAAGAGCGATCCAACACCCCAGGCCGCAGAGGGTGCGCCACACGGCGCCACAGCGAGAGCGCACCCAAAACAAGCGAGACGAGCGTCGGCAACACGATCTAAACTCCCTTCCCTCTCTCCCCTCTCTCACATCTCTCCTCTCCCTTTTCTCCCTTCTCTCCCTTCACAGCGAGACAGAAAGGAGAGCAGAGAGGGAGAGAGGGGAGGGGAGATCTCTCCCTCTCTCCCTCTCTCCCTCTCTCCCTCGCTCCCTCTCCCTCTCTCCCTCTCTCCCTCTGTCCCTCTCTCCCTCGCTCCCCTCTCTCCCTCTCTCCCTCTGTCCCTCTCTCCCTCGCTCCCTCGCTCCCTCTCTCCCTCCCTCTCTCCGCCTGTTTGTTCCCGTATGTCTCTCTTTCTTTCTGTCTTTCTTTCTTTCTTTCTTTCTTTCTTTCTTTCTTTCTTTTTCTCTCTCTCTCTCTCTT